TACTTAGATTTGAGTTAAGAACTGAAAAAAAAACCACGTGGGAGGCAGGGAAAGTGCAAAATTTGAACTTTCAGTTAACTGTTGGCCAGTGAAAAGGGTGCCTGTCTGCTTCCTCACTCCTCCCAGCGTTTAGAGAGTGGATTGGGAGACAGTCTTCGGACTGCCTGGTACTGTACTGCCTGGACTGTATTTTCCCTGCCTTCCCTGAACCTTTCTTGACCTAAGAAAAAAAGAAACAAAATATTCCCCCCTCTAGTGGTCGAAGGCGGAATAGCAGCTTCCCATTAGCTTCTGTGGACGGAAAAGAGCAGATACGGATTAAATGGTTTTCAATGCATTCCTATGGGAAATGCAGATTTGACGTGAGAACTTTTTGACTTGAGAACCGCCTTCCAATACGGATTAAGTTCTCAAGTCAAGACCCCACTGTACATTGAAAATCCTAGTAGGATTGTTAAAAGTTGCAAGTGACTTGACTGAGCAAACAACAAAAGAGTTATAATGAATCCTCAAGGTTTTTCTTCCTAACGTTTCACCAGTCTCTGTGGCCGGCATCTTCAGAAGACAGGAATTAGAACTCTGTCTCTGTTCTTGAACACAGAGTTCTAACTCCTGTCTTCTGAAGATGCCTGCCACAGAGACTGGCGAAACGTTAGGAAGAAAAACCTCCAGAAGATGACCAAACAGCCCAAAAAAACCTACAATTACCAAAAGAGTTATACTTTGTCTGTTCTGAATCTCCCACTGATCAATTTTCTTTAGGTCACCCTGCATTCTACTATTATCAGAGCAGGAGAAAACTATATTTTTGTTCATTTTCTCAAAATAGTGCACAAGTTAGGTGCTTTACTATTTTCCCCCCTAAATTCAAATACTGTATCCTTTTCTTATGAGTAGGTAGGTAGATTTATGATCCAGTCCAGGGTTCTACAGGCAGATGGTGATGGCCTTGCCTTTAAGCCAGATCAAGTGTCGGTCTGTTATGCTTTAACTGTGACTCTCTCCAGAACGGGGCTGTGCAGTCTACTCAGAAAGAAGCCTTGTTGTGTGCATTGGGATTTTCCCGATAGCTGCCTACATGCTGAAAATTGGGTAATTCTGTGATTTTGGACCCCAGGCCATTTGGGATCTAGACATTCATGTCCTTGTTATTGTGCTTTATTCAGAGGTCAAATACATTTTACAAACAAACAAAATTGAGGGAGCAGCAAAAGGCTGAGTGACTCACGCATTATCATTTTGCACTCTTATTCATGTCTAAAGTGAAATGTTGTTAAGAGTGTCACTTAGAGAGGGTGACCTTCCTCAAGCATTTTTCTTTTTAGCTATATGGGCTTCTGTGCAATACACCACTTTTAAAACAGGTGGCTATTATTATAAACAGTTAAATAAGTCTATATATAGGTACACAGCACATGTTAAAGGGATAAAATCCTATACATAAATCAAAATTCAAGGAATGACTGACTTATGGTACGCAGTTACCATTGTCATGACTGATATAACCTAGGGATAGATAACTTTCAGTCCCTCAGATATTGATGAAGTAGTATTCCCATCACAGCTTACCATTGGTCAGGATAGTTAGTGCGGTGAGAAACAGAGTTCAGCAGCATCTGGAGGGTCATAAACTCCTTAGCACTGATATAATCCATTATAAGGTGTTAGAAAGTTCATTGCAACAAAATGTTGTTAAGATATACTACTCGTGTGATTTAAATTTGAATATTTCCCAAAGTGGAACACAGAAACTGCCTAGGTATCTCCCCTTCACCCTCAATCCTGAATCTTGTGTTGCAAGACATTGCATATGGTGTTCCCAAGTTATTCTGCTATGGTATGGTGTTCTTGAGGTACGCAGCTCACCTGAGATAACAGGAGCTTCTGTGTGCCTCTGGAACTTTGCATGTAGGTAATATACACAACATAAAAGAGGAAGCAAAAATGCACTTGTGCCTACTTCCTTTTCTTCTGGTTCTTCACAACGGCTGAAGCTGGCCAGTGATGTTAGTGGTTAAACAAAGAAAATACAGGGCCGAATCAAGATTTGCTCATGCTTACAGCAGTGCCACAGTAATCAAGAGGACTTTAGGTCACCATGATTAACTTAAACCCTACTGGTTGCAACTCTTAAGTTTGTCTATCTAGATCTAACCCAACATGTCCTAATGTTTTTTTACAGTGCACATTGCTTCTTGGTTACATGATTCCTAGCTTGAGTGGAGGAAACCTTTACATCACATTGTGACGTAGTCAATTGCTCAAAGAGCCACTGGCTTCAGATGCATCAGACTGTCTACCTGTCTAGTTATTTCTGAATACAGTAGTAATGCTGAAGAAGAGGGCCAGTCCTATTTTATAAAGGATTCAATTTGGTTTGGACGCCTTTGGGATATTTTCAGTGCATATTGCTCATTCACCTTGCCGAAGCTCAGCCCTACTACTGCTCCAAGTGCTACTGTTGTATTAAGAGATCAACCCCCCTCCCCACATTATTCCCTTCCATAGGGATTTTGTTTTGGCCATGGTTGTCTGGCTGGCAGTTAGGAGAGGCTAATAGGATGATTTGTGGCTGATCTCCTGTCTCCCTGACCATTTAACCAATATATTCCACAGAACTAGGGGTTTTTGTATAACACAGAGTTGAAGTAACATTCCATTAAGCAAACCTCTAGAGAGCCATACCTTTGAGTGTGGACATAGGCTGGTTGTGGACCTGGTAGGTGGGGTCTCATCCCAAATTTTCAAAAGATGTCCTCCTTGCCTACTCTAATCATAAGCCACTGTGACTTTCCTGCTGCCTTCCTCTGAGTAAATAGTGCCAGAACTTGAAGAAGCTGTCTTTGTAATTTGGAGGGAACAAAGCGAAATTTTTTATTTTGGGTCTTTATTGACACATATGCATTTGTTTATGTAGACTTTATTTAAGGCATATGAAAATAAACTTCTGTACTTATCCAACACTTCAGAATGAGCTTTTTAGCTGCCCTAAAGATAAAATATGCGATCAGCAGGAAATCAATAATGATTTTGTATCCATTTTCAAGGTGTGGCGAGGATACTGAGTCTGTACATGAAGACCAAACCGCCAATTCCATACACAGGTATCTTGCTATTGCATTTTACAAAATAAAAATATATCAAGGAAATCTCTCTCCTTTTTCTTCTTCTTTTAAAGTGAATTTTTAAAAGAATTGAATTCTCAAAATCCATAAAATGTTTGTAAATTACTAGTAGAGAGTGATTCTTTAACTGATTAAGTATTTGAGGGCAGGGTATAGCTTGTGCCTTTTAGAGACCATGGGTGGAAATTTTACCATGCTTTGAGGACTCCCTAGTGACCCTGGGCCCCCCATGATTTTAGTTTTTGCAAGCACTAGAAGGTGCAGGGGGACTTTTTAAAGTTTAAAAGACCATATCTGAAAGTTAAACCCATTTTTTCAGTCAGTAAAACTCTGCTGTTGTGACTTTTACAAAAATAAAAACCAAAAATATGCACACTAGCCCCCTTAATCAAACTTTTGCTCCTTTAGTTCTGCCCCCTTTGGAAAACGGCTCTCCGGATGCCATCAGATCTGGCATCTGCCTTGCTGAGGTTGCCTTTTGGTACCCTAATCCATCTCAGCCCATTGAATTCTTTGTGGGAAACAGTAAAGCTCAGACCTGGGAAACTGAAGGGATACTAAAAAATTTTAGGTGAAGTTTGAATTTCATTAATTAAAAAAGGAGGAGGAGCTGGTGGGGTGCAAAAAATGGAAGTGACTTTATCTTGGAAGTAAATGGATACTGCATGGAGGAGGATGAGAGAAACAATGCATAACCACTGGATATTTTATTTAGAAATACGGTGGCAGTTAATCTTTCTTAATTAGCTCTCTGTTTAAGGCTCTAGAACCCTAAGAAGGAAAATCTGGGGCCTGGATGTTACCTGTCAGTAGTTCCTAAGAAGGAAAATATGGGGCCTGGATGTTACCTGTCAGTAGTTATCACTGGGAGAGTAGATTGAGCAGACACACTTACGTACTCCACTGTTGTGAGATGCACAACTTGGAAGTAATAGGTCGCAATCCAATTCATTGGTCATAAGGTGTTCCTTTAGGTGGTAATGACTTTCAAATGCTGCTCCTCTTTTATCTTGGAGAAAAAAGCCCCAGAACATTCTTTTTCCTTGCTAGAAGAAGGGAGATTCAGCTTGCTGTGGGGTTGCTGATCTCCATGTTGTTTCCCACAGAAACCCAAGTTATGCAGTACATGTGGCTTCTTCACACAGGGCACCTGCAGATAGTGCTAGTGATATAGCTGTATGGATTTCACAGGCTGTAGTCTTGTGAACGATAGCACGTAGTTGTCATGGAGTAGACATGGTCTAGAGGGGCGAGGTAAGAACGATAGCACATAGTTGTCATGGAGAAAGTCACAGATGCAACGCCTGCTACTAGGCCTTGTAGCCAGAAGAATAAGGTAACAGGTTTCCCATCTGGCCTGCAAAGATTCTCATTTAGGTCTCTCCCCCTGCCTCTTCTGGAACTAGAAAAAGGCTCCATTTAATGCTGGAAGAGAAGAGTCTTCCCTCAGTTCTGATTGCAAACAGAGATAAGAACCTGGATTCCTAGTGTAGAAACAAACAGACAAATGCCCAGGCATTATTTAATCCTGGAATGGAAACTCAGTTCTTATCTGCAGTAAGAGGCAGTGAGAGTGATGCGCTCAATCCCAGGATTACAGAAAGACCACCTTTAGCAGGGAACAATTTTTCTATAGTGCTAGGAGAAGATTCCAATCAGAGATTGGGGATTACCTGATCTAGTCCCTAGACAATACTGGGTGAACTGAACCTGTGGTGTGACGTGCAACAAGGAAGCTTCCTAAACTGAGCATATCTGATAAAGCGTCTGTTTAATAAAACACAGAGATAAGAACTTGGATTTCTAGTGTAGAAACAAACAGACAAACAAATACCCAGGCATTATTTAATCCTGGAATGGAAACTCAGTTCTTATCTGCAGTAACAGGCAGTGAGAGTGATGCGTTCAATCCCAGGATTACAGAAAGACCACCTTTAGCAGGGAACAATTTTTCTATAGTGCTAGGAGAAGATTCCAATCAGAGATTGGGGATTACCTGATCTAGTCCCTAGACAATACTGGGTGAACTGAACCTGTGGTGTGAGTCACAGATGCAATGCCTGCTACTAGGCATTGTAGCCAGAAGAATAAGGCAACAGGTTTCCCATCTGGCTTGCAAAGATTCTCATTTAGGTCTCCCCCCCCCTCTTCTGGAACTAGAAAAAGGCACCATTTAATGCTGAAAGAGAAGAGTCTTCCCTCAGTTCTGATTGCAAACAGAGATAAGAACCTGGATTCCTAGTGTAGAAACAAACAGACAAATGCCCAGGCATTATTTAATCCTGGAATGGAAACTCAGTTCTTATCTGCAGTAAGAGGCAGTGAGAGTGATGCGCTCAATCCCAGGATTACAGAAAGACCACCTTTAGCAGGGAACAATTTTTCTATAGTGCTAGGAGAAGATTCCAATCAGAGATTGGGGATTACCTGATCTAGTCCCTAGACAATACTGGGTGAACTGAACCTGTGGTGTGACGTGCAACAAGGAAGCTTCCTAAACTGAGCATATCTGATAAAGCGTCTGTTTAATAAAACACATTCTTAGCTTACAGTGCATTTCAGTAGCTTAAAAATATTATCTGTGCACACAGTTCTCTCACAAAATGTTAATTAAAGAGAAGCAAAACTTTTGCTAAATCTGAAAACTAATAATGACCATAATGGTTGAAGCTTCATATTTTTGCTCATTTTTTTCTGGGGGCTTAAATTCTTCACAGTGCCTTTAAATGTTGCTTTTATTTCCTTCTAGAGATGAAAACAAAGAAAACTACCCAGACAAAGCTATAGTCTTAGAGGAAAACCAGGCAGTGTTCCAAGACACACAAACACCCTGTGATGGCATATTAAGGGTTGGAATGGGGAACTTAAAATCCCGAAAGCCCACATCTATTTCAAAAACAGAAAATGGGAAAAACCGTGAAGAAAGTCAGGTAATAATGAGTTCTCATCTTTTGTACTGTAATGTTGTGCTGCAGTTCAACAGAGGGAAATGCAACTTTTAAATGCAAAGCAGTAGCACTGCTAATATTGTGGCAGTGTGCTTCCATTTTCGATGAGGGTCATATACAAAACCATCTGGGTCATCAGCCACATTCCATCAGGAAACATAGTTTGGGAAAGGTTCTCTTTCATGACTACTCCCAAGATCCATGGCCAGCATGGCTTTGTAATTATAGCCTGAGATGCTGCTAAAATGGTATATTCTTACAGATATATAATACTCAAATTGTCATAATTTTATGGAGTTATTTACTCACAGCTGAGTTTTCTTTTGTACATCTTCATTTTAGCTCTCTTTGTTTCTTTTCCTTTTGGTGCTCGTGATACTGATGGATTCATGTTCAGGCTTCAAAGGTGTGTGTTTTCTTCATAGTTGCAGGAATAAATGTTTCATGGCTATTCCTCCTGCATGCTGAGGAAGCGTTCTTCATCTTGTGATAACCATCCCATAGCTTCCAAGATTCTAGGTATATAACAACATGGGGCATTGGCAATTTGCAAAGAAAGCTCAAGACACCTTTAAAGTGTGTGTGGGGGAGAGAGCAGGGAAATAAAATGGGGTGATTGGGGTTCAAAGTAGGCTGTTTTCCAGAGATCCTCCCCTAAAGATGGAACATTTCATGTACTTTTTTGTGATTGGTTGTTAGAAGGCAACACAGGCCTAATTTGCAAGTCTGATGGTTGAGGACCACTCAAAGCCTGTTGTGGGAAGTAAAATGGGTTAATTGTAGGGAATACAAATTTCTGTTATCATTTACGTTGACCTTTAGATAAGAAAGGATATATGTTCCACCGCTATATGGTAATTTCTTGCTGTGATGTGATGGGTTGAATATACTACAGAGTGTTTAGAGGAATGCTATAATCTATGACTCTATAAACTAACCATGTCTGTACCACAACTGAATGCTCATTCTGCTGTAAAAGAAATCAGAGAACATAGCAAGTTATCCCAAACAGGCTGGTACCTGTCTAGAATATTTAACCTTGACATATTTGCTTTCCATTAGAAATTAGTTTCCTTGATGGCAAACATTCAACTAGGACATCCTTCAAGTGCCAAATGAAGTGGTGAAGTCTGCAAAGGGTTCTGTGCTGCATCAACAGTTCTGCAAACACAGCTTTTGTTCTGTGTCAGGAGTGGAGAATGTATGGCCTTCCAGAATGTTGATGCACAGTTCCCATCATGTCTCAATACTGATTATTCTGGCTAGGGCTGATGATGTGCATCCAGTGCTATTTGCATGCTCTGATTTTCTGGGACCAGAAAAAAAGTACAGAATTTGGCACAGGGACCAGAACATAGCTTCTTCAGAAATTGTTTCATTTCATTTCATTTCATTTATTTAAAACAATCTTCATTTTTGAAACAACCTCAGATTCTTATAACTGTGAAACGACTTGTGGAAATGTGTGAGCAATGACTGCTCAAATCTTTGAAAGTAGCGAGATGGCTGAAACGTTGCCCAGCATTTGAGGGTAGAACTTCAGTACTTCTTGAAATCCTGAGCTCTTCTACATTCTTAGCCAAATCAAGATAAATCACAGAGAGCAGAATTTGCAGCAGGAGAAATTACAACAATTGGTTGCTCTACATAATTTAAGCAGGTTGCAGAATTTCTGTTTTCTTGGTATATTATTTAGATTGCTTAGAATATGGATTCTATATTGCCCCCTTTGGCACTGTTCTGCCTATTACAATTTAAAGATATTAATCCTACATATTAAGGCCTAAGTACAACTGCGAGTGCCAACTAGAGTAAACTGACCAAACCTGTTACTGAATGTTGAGTCAATGGTTATGTAAATTCCATTGATTAAATAGGTTTAATCTGTTTGGAACCACCAGAATTCATGTATTCATTATAATGAAGAAGAAGAACTGTGGCACTTGGAGTCGGGGTGGTTAGGAAAATGAGAGACTGGAACTGTAAATAGGAAGTTAATCAGTCCCTTTTTGTAGTAACTGAGGTACAACTATTTTTCTTTATGCATTGAAACCATGTATTAATTATAATGAAGAAGTACTGTGGCACTTGGAGTCGGGGTGGTTAGGAAAATGAGAGACTGGAACTGTAAATAGGAAGTTAATCAGTCCCTTTTTGTAGTAACTGAGGTACAACTATTTTTCTTTATTCATTGAAACTACAGTAGTGCCCCACTTGACGATTACCTCATTAGATGAGGAAATCGCTTAATGACTAGTATTTTGCAATCACTATAACGATCGCAAAACGATGTTTGTATGGGGTTTTTTCGTTTAACGACGATCAAAACAGCTGATCGTTGGGTTTTCAAAATGGCCACCTGCTGTGCAAAATGGCTCCCCGCTGTGTTTTAGGACGGATTCCTCGCTACATAGGCACCGGAAAATGGCTGCCTTATGGAGGATCTTCACTGGACGCTAAGGTATTTTTCCCATTGGAACTTCATTGAACTGGTTTTCAATACATTTCAACGGGTTTTTTACTTTCGCTTGACGACTATTTCGTTATGCAGCGATTTTGCTGGAACGGATTATCCTTGTCAAGCGAGGCACCACTGTATTTTGCCTGAAGAGAAAGGTCTTGCCTGCTTGTGGAAGGGCAGTTTCAAAGACTAGGAGCAGCAACAGAGAAGACCTTCTCCCATGTCTCAATCAAACACATCTGTGAGGGTGGAAGGCCTCTCCTGATGATCTTAACAACCAGTCAGGCTCATTAAGGGACACACGGTCCTTGAGTTAGGTTGGGCCCAAGCCCTTTAGGGTATTATAGGTAAGAACCAGCACTTTGAATTCTCAGGCTCATTAAGGGAGACACGGTCCTTGAGTTAGGTTGGGTCCAAGCCCTTTAGGGCATTATAGGTAAGAACCAGCACTTTGAATTCTGCCCTGAAATATATTGGCAGCCAGTGGAACTGCTGTTACAGAAGGGATGTGTGATCTCTGTGTCCAGTCCCACTTAGCAATCTGTCTGCTGTGTTTTCAAGCTGTTGAAGTTTCCTTACACTTTCCATAGGCAGCCCCACACTTTAGAATGTGTTACAGTAATCCATCTGGGATGTAGCTAAAGCATGTGTTAATGTGGCCATATTAGACCTCTCTAGGAGCTAGGTTTTATGCTTGATTGCAGTGTAATGAGAAATCACTTCATTCCTTCTGTAGTTGTAAGTGTTCTTAGTTATACTGGGATGGCCTCAGACCTCTCTAGGAGCTAAGTTTTATGCTTGATTGCAATGTAATGAGAAATCATTCCTTCTGTAGTTATAAGTGTTCTTAGTTATACTGGGATGGCCTCATTACTTAGTTGCATTTTGTATTATAGGCAGTGGGTTGGAGCATTCTGATTTTTAACAAAATCATAAGTAAAAGGGGAACTTGAATCATTTAAGGAGGTCTTCAATAACAAAACAGTAGTTTCTTTTTTTAAAGATTGCAATTATGACACTAACAAACTACTTTTGAAGGATTTGGAGCTATGACTGTAACCAATTATTTTTAAAAAAAGAATATTCTAGTCTCTGGTTAGACTACAAAATGTGTTTTCTGTCTTCTTGTCTTCTATCACACATATTTTCATATGAATAGCCATGAATATGGATTGTAAAATGATTCATTCTTAAATGGTATAGATATGTACTTCTAAAATGGTATGAGCCTCTCTTCTTTAAAACACAGAGCAAAAAGAATTTGTTAATTTTTGGACTAATTTTCAGGTTGAGACCCTGAGAAAATAAATGGATGATAATATAGATAAAAATCAAGAGGGGCCAAAAAGTTCTATTTGGAATTCCACTGTTTGATTTAAATTCAATAGCTGTGAAAAAATAAATAAACCTAAACCTCCAGTGCTTCAACATTGTGGATGTGTTCTTAACCACATCAGGCTTAGAGAATTAAGTATTCTTACAAAAATTTGAAACTCTAAAAAGTTCCTACACAATCCTCCTGAGTTATTTTCCATAATCAGGGTAGGAACATTCATGGAAATATGGAATGCATAAAGCCTATAAAAAAAAGATACTGATTGTCTTCCTCGTGACCCTGGAACTCTGGTTGAGCTGCAGTTTTGCTCATTAACTAAGCCATCTCATTGATTAATCATATTGATTAACACTTTTAGCCTGAGAAATAAAAGTCCAATTGTGTCCTCTTTATTTCAAGGGCATGCTATTATGCTCTCCCGGCAATACAGAGTTGATCTTTTTTAGTGGTTACTTGTCCTGGGTGAAGATTTTAAAATCCTGTTAGTTTGACATGATTGAGAGCTAAGAAAAAAAAACGTAGATTTTTATGTGCTCATGATTTACTTCTGTTCAGTTCAATGAACACAGCAGTTAAGTGCTCAGGAGCTTAGACTGGTCTATCAGCTTGTTCTGCGAAACATCTCAGATGCTGATGACAGCAGTTGTCACTGCCTGCGTAGAACCAGTTAGCTGGCCTGCAAAATATTCACATGAGTTAAGAGCTGGTGGACTGGTCTGGATATCTATCCCTCCTTAAAAGATGTTCCCAAAATATTGAGGATCATCCTTTTGAATTCACACTGCCTGGTCTTATATCCAGTCAGAAATCAAAGATGACAATATGTATTCCTGTCCAAACAACTTGGGAGAGCCAAGTCTTTGGGGAATATATTGGTTGTGGAGCCTCTAGCAGGCTGGCTTTTGACCCTCCATGGTACAAATGAGGCTGATGGGGACAGATGCATAGAAAGCAAAAAGATGAAGCCATACTATTAAAAATCTGGTCTCTAATCAAGCAAGATCGAAATCCAGGGTGAATCCAGTGATTGAGCTGAGAACTCCTGGTCCCTTCCTAATTCCTGTACCCTTGTCCAAATATATTTTGGTCTATAGATACCCAAACCTCATTCATTTTGGTGTGTGCACTTCTGTAAGATCCACAAAGTGACACTACAAATTAAATGTTGATTAACAAGTAAATAACATGGCATGAAATGTTGTCTGACAACTGACATGAGGTGTATGAGCCGTCTCACTTTAGGCTAGATGGGGGAGATGTTATCCTCTCCCCTTTTTAATAAAAAGAATTATGCACGGAAGAAAAATGGGATATCGGAGGAAGGTGTGCCTTGAACTCCTTGTATTTATGACATCTGGTTTTGTAGACAATGTTTTGCCTATAGGAGTGGGCAATTATATGAGCCCTTACCTGCGATGGTTACAGCTCAGCTCAAGTGAGAATTTATCCTTAGTGCCAAGTGAGCTTGAGTGTGGATTAATCCTTAGCATCAAGCTAGAGGTGTCCGTCTGTTGATTACTTATCTTGAATTGGATGTAGATAATTATATAAGCATTAATGCAGCGAATATAAAATGTGCAGCTTCTCATGTTTGAGGCGTGGAATTCAAATACGTACAGAGATAGAGGCCTGTGGTCTGCCCCTTCCTGTTTTTCTTCGTTCAAATGTCCTGCGTCTTCCTGGATTGCCTCTTTTTCCTAACATAGGAAAGGGAGAAGAGATCAATGGGTTGAGGGTGTACGTCAATAGACCATCTATTGTTTTTATTACTACCCTGTGATGCCCTAGTCTGTTTTGCCTGCCATGCCACTTCCTAAATGTCAAGTAAGTCAGCCAATGCTGTATAAATGTTAAGTCAGCTGATGCTGTACAGGTGGTTTATGACAAGATTAAGCAATAACTGAAACAGGCCAACCAGTGCCCAAGATTTTAAAAAATAGGAACAAATATAAACACTGAAAATTATAACATTAAAATGCAATTTATTTAAATGTAGTTTAAAAACACATTGATAAATACAAGGGATAGCAATCATTTATCCATAGCTCCTTTTTGAGCAGCCAGTCAATTGTCAAAAAGCTCACCTAAATTAAAATGTCTTTTTTTGCTAGCAAGTGTACAGCAGCAAAGTGCATACAATAATGGCAGGGAGAACTGTGATTTGCCTCATCTTTCTGTGCAGTTACTGCAATTCAGAAAATCATTGATGGAGACTTTGGTGTTCCAAATGTGTTGGTGTCCTTGGAGTGCCTTGGAAAGCAAATGGATTTTTTTTTCTCAGCTGGAAGCTTTATGATAGCATGCAGGCTCCCCACCCTTGTAATGAGGGTGAAAGAGAAGAGTAGCTGGAAGCTGCATGATAGCATGCAGGCTCCCCACTCCATCCCTTCAAGACAGCTTCTCTATGACCAAACTTCCTTTGCAAGTGAACAGGTGAATAGAAATGACGGGTGGCTTTCTTGAGTGTGCTCAGACTGCTCTGAAATGATTTTCTTCCTGATGCAGAGTAGCAAATGGTGCTCCTTTCCCCTGCCCATGCAGGTCTTCAAGGCACATAATATTCAAAGCTAGCTCAGTTCATTTGGCAGATAAAGTAGAAAATTCCACACAAGCACCTCTTCCCATGAATGAGAAGTTTTTTAAATCAAATAATTGACAATTAGCTGCCCTTTTGGCATACCCCAAATCTGCTGCTTGGTGAGTTTACTGCTTATATAGGGCACACTCTAGCACATCCCCTGAGGTGTTTGCAACATGCTCGTTTTAAAGGAGGTGAATCGGTGTGGCAAGGGGTCCTTGAGGAAAGAAATGTGTTGGAAAGCAATGCTCTCATTGTGGAATTCAGCCCCACTGTTGTGCTTCTGAACATCCACTGCAAACTGGAAAAGTTGCTCTAAAACAAGGGGACAAAAATGCATGCTTTTGATATTTTTTGTGTGTGGTTTCCCAATTAATTTGAGCCATCAGCTGCAAATACCTCTTTAAATGGATAAATAGTCTAATTATCCTAACATTTTAACTTGTCTTTAATTTTATCTATATTTTACATATGTCCATAATTTTAAATAGTACAACACTCTGATTATGAATAAAGAAAGAATGAATTGAGTATATTGTGCTGCCTTTAAAAGAGTGTTCCTGGTTTGCAGCTGAAATTTGGAGGCATGGTTTTCAGGGGCCTGGGGGCCACACCCCTTGCCATGTGGTGTAGGCTGTCTGTGACAGAAGCTGAATAATTTTGGATAAATTATCTCGTTAGTTTTTTTTCATATCCATGACTGAAATCTTATTGCTCAGTGTATTAACTTGCAGATAGAGTAGGCTCAATAAATTAGCAGGGGTTTGGTGAGTTAATTCCTCCATAAGTTTCATTGATTCAATGAGCCTGCTCTAGTCGTGACTTAGCACTCTAACTAAGAAGATTTCAGCCAGAATCTGAAAACCTTTTATATCTGGGAACAGCTATAGTGCTGACATGGAAGGTAAGCATGCAATGGATTGGTTGGTTGGTTTTTGCTCCTGCTCTGTGCAATCCTTACATCAGGTTGTTTCCATTGCACTGAAGCAAAATGCAGTGGACAGCCTTCACTTTTCCCTCTCGGGCCCCTCCCCTCCCTCTCCAGATCAGCTGTGATTACACGCTTACTTTTTTTTTTGTCCTTCCCAAAATAGCCACTTGACATCCATCTGTCCACTGTTTACTTGAGTGTTTTATATTTCTCGATATATTATTCCTTTATTTTTATTTTTTACAGGAGATGGGAAATGCATTGCCATGGCTTTCAGACTGTCAGAGGAAAACAGGGACACCAGCTAATGAGTACACAGAGAACGTGGCATTCAGATACCAGGAAACAGTCATCAAGTTTCAACCCAGGTATTCTCTTTTGAGTAAACAAATCTTTCACTTCAGTTTACATGTAAAGTGAGGCTAACTGATTCATGTTCCCCGCCCCCCTTCCTGGCTTGCTCAGTTTGATCCACCAAGCCAAGTGAGAATGACACTCATTTTTAGTGTCCCTTTGACTACCTCACAAAACCTTCTCCTATTCTTGGGGGAAGGGGAGCTCAGCTGAGGCATAAAAATAGGGATTTGGGGGGCCAACTTTTTGAAAGGCTTTAATTTAATATGTTGGTGAATCACATGTTACACTGTTTAAAAACAGAGCTGAGTGTGTACTCTTTGTGTGTTCAAAGAAAATGAAGGGCCTGAGTTGGTCGGGGGGCGAGATGAAAATTCTTTGCCCCCAGGTAACTACATCTCTGAATTAAGACATACTACATTTGATGACTTTTTAAAAGTTTGTGATTATCAATTTATCTAATAAGAGGAACTAGTGGATATTATTTCTGTAGCCATCCTTCAGTCTCGAGACACTATGGTAACGTGCTCTGAATAGAGGTCTTGGAACAGTGTCTAATGTGGTTGAGAAGGCCAATTTGAGAGTGACAATCCCTTCCACACTGGAAACAAATACAATCTATCCCTTATTCAGCTCTTTGATTTTGCTGGTTTTGGGACTGCCTGTTTGCCTCGGCCTGCTGAACAAGTGTCTCTTCAAATTGGGAGAGGCCATGCTGCACCGCCTGCCTCCAGGCCGAATGCTCAGATGTTAAGGTTTCCCATCCATTGAGATCCATTCCTAGGGCCTTCAGATCTCACTTGCAGATATTATGAACTTCTGGGATAAAATGCTTTGCAGGCTGTGCATTTTGCTCAGAAAAACATATTGAGCAACTGGTGGTGGTGAAGTATCTCAGTTGTTTGTTATTAATATTAGTTACTTTTGACCCAGCAGAAAAACTTCTCATGCTTATTTCAATAACAGTCCTGTATTACTGCTACCTTGTTTAAATTGTAAGAACTGCCTCAAAAGTGGGTTGAATCAAAATGAAAAATGTTATGGCCTGCTAGGGAACAAACCAGGAATTGTAGCATTCACATAATTAGCAATTGCATGATTTTTTTAAACTCCCCCCCCCCAACAAGGGTTTCAGTCTGGGCAGTAAAAAAAGCATCACATTTAAAAGCCTTTATGTAAATACATGATAGTGATTCAGATAATGAGATTATTTCCCCTTTAAACATTGTTCTGATCCCATACCACTCTGGTTGAATCCCCTGCTGTCTAATCTGTGTTTTTAATGAATTATTCAAAGTACCTGAAATGATTCATTTTAATTAATCAAGAATGGGATTTTATCACAGAAGTAACTTTCTGGCTTACTGAAATTAAAGACTCTTGGAAAGTAGAATGACACTCCCCTTGTTTCCCATGTTCATTTTGCAGGGTAGATCAGAGTGCATTCATTTCACCAAAAGATGCTACTGAAAATTTACATGACTTCCCTGAGGTAAGTCTGACGAAAAACCCTATAAAGTCTGATACAGGGCACTGTTGTCAATGCTGTTCATTTAAACAGGTGAGAGACACAAGATGCCGGTTGTGACGTGCTATCATGGATAGCGATTCTCTCTTGGATCTCTTGCAGCTACTGTGAGCATAGTATCAAGTTATGCCTATGTAGCTAAGCAATAGGATTTTGCCCCCTATCAAATTAGTCCTGGTTGGGCTTCATTTTGTTGTGTAAAATAATGCGTCACATACATCATACATTATGACTACAGTATATGCCTTATGATATGCATGCAATAAAGAAATTATTGCAGTGTGCTTGCAGTTCTTTCTTTTTTGGCACTGTTTTGAAAAAAAAGAGGAAAAGCCATTGAAAATTGAAGGATTTTTATGTTTAGACAATTTTAAGAACTGCAGGAAAAAAAAGGAATTTTTGTTAAGGTGAGAGGAGGATGTGAAAATGTTATGTACTGATAACTGCAAAGGGTGCAAGAATGAAAGAAGTGACGCTAGAACAAAAGAGTCAACCAGCATTTAGGACGAGCAAAGAAACAGGTAGAATCAAGATGTGTTGTTGAAGAGTAAAACAGGTTTTTCTACGGTGGTAAGTTTGCCCATTAAGTTGCCTGGAAGCTCAGTCAGTTAGGTTTCTAGCTGGAGAGTCAGAAGCAGTCTTCCATTTCCCACTATGCCTCCTGGAAGAAGAGCCAGTCTGTGTAGTCAAGGGCAAGCTGCACAGTCTTTGGAGTACTGATCAGAAGAAGGGAGTGGTGAACCACTTCTGAATATTCTATAGCTAGAAAATCCTGGAAAAGTCAGAATTGAATTAATGGTGTATAATTTTTAAGTTTAACTATTATGAACAGCTTTAAAACAAGTAGAGATTATTATCTCTATTTATTATAAAAACAAAAGTAAAATCCCTTTATTAGTTCCAACTGGAGTAGATCCGTTGAATCAAAGTGACAGTGGTAAGTCAGTCCTGCAAGTGAGTTCCACTTATTCAGTGATTCTACTCCACTTGGGACTAGAAATAGTATTTCATCCCAAAAAGTTTCTTTTGAGATGTTAAAGTCTAATAAATAATTAGTGTAGTAGTCTGGGAGGTGTTAACTAGGTTAGAATGAGTACAATTCATGGAGACTGAATTAATCAAGGTGCTCTTCCTACAGATTGAATTTAACTAGAGTACTGCCCCAAAAGCTGCAAACAAGAAGGGGTAAAGCTATGCAAACAGGTTTGCAGTTTTGCCATCTGCAAGGCCATGTCTGCAAATTTTAAGGGCTGCAAACTAGCAATTTGTGGGAGCTAAGACTTGTAAATGACTTATTTCTGTACCTAGTGCCAGGAGTTTTTGTACTTCTGTACCTATCTTGTTCTGGCAGTGCTTCTCTTTGCATAGTATTGCTGTATAAGCATATAAATGAAATGAGGAATCACATATGAAATATATATAGGTCACAGTAGTGCTTTTTGCAAAGAATTAGGTCTGCTGCCATAGTGATGCCAAGACAGGTCTGCTTATGAGTGAGATTCTGATATACATTAAGAGAATCTTCTGTTCTTACCCTTTAAGAGCCTTCTGTTGCAATTAAAGCTACTGCTGAATCCTTTCCTGCTTAGGTCATTCTTTATTTGGATCAGCCATTCTTTTTAGGCTGTTGTTTACAGCTCAAATCCAGAAATGTTATAGTCTAAATAAGTCTGCCAGACAGGAGAAGCATGTGGAACAGCTCAGACTGGAGACAAAGTGTAGCTCATTAAGCTGCTTGCTGTAAATCTAAGTTTTGCAGGCCTAATGTATGAACAAATTGGAATGAAATGCTTTGTGGAATTTGACTAGGCGAGCTTTAGCAAGACATTAAGGACTGGTATGTCAATCAGTAGGTTAGACGAGATGGAGTAATGACAGTGGCCTAGTGAATCTGAGTTCACGGGGACAAAGTGCAAGCAGGTTCTAGTTAGCAAGGACAGTGGTGTCATCCTGGGGTGGTATGGCCTCCAACTGGCAATTGAGACCATTTAGCCTGAGAAAATATCCGCTTCTGGTGGAGGCAGAAGGTACAAGAACTGGGGTGTTGGAATGAATCAGTGCAGCTTCCAGCATATTTTGATTCTTCCTGAGTGGGTAAGTGTGAGGACTGCCACGATAGGCATCTGAACAAAACTTTAGCACTGCAACACTGGTTAAGAATAGTGGGTTTTAAAAACTGGAGTATACAGGACACTGGTAGCGGGATGGGATATCTGACTGAATTACATACAGTGGTGCCCCACTTAACGATTATCCCGCTTGACGATGAATCCACTTAACTTTGAGGTTTTTGCGATAGCAAAATGATGTTTAAATGGGGATAATCAGCTTGACAACGATCGATTCCCTGCTTTGGGAACCAATTTTCCGCTAAACGATCTAAAAACAGCTGATCGGCGGCTCTCAAAATGACTCCCTGCTGTGCAAAATGGCTCCCCGCTGTGTTAAGGACGGATTCCTTGCTATACAGGCACCAGAAAATGGCCTCCCTATGGAGGATCTTCACTGGATGGTGAGGTATTTTGCCCATTGGAACTCATTGAACGGTTTTCAGTGCATTTCAATGGGCTTTTTATTTTCGCTTGACGACAATTTCGTTCTACAGCGATTTTGCTGGAACAGATTATCGTAGTCAAGTGGTGTGGTACCAATTCATCCTACGAAGTTAAGTATATCTCTTATAGCCTGGATGGGTGATCAAATAACTTAGCAAAGCATAATCTTTACCTGTTCAAGCCAATTTCAAGATCAGAAGAAAGGACTCATCAAGTCTGCTTCCCTTTTCTGTTACTTTTGCATGTGTTCACTCACGTCTATTTTGTTCCATTTCACATTAGTCTGTCAGCTTTTGGAAATGATCACAAAATTTTGCATTTAAGCAAGTACTTTAGATGGCATTCCTGAAGTCTATTCTTTCAAAAATCTACATTCTGAAATGCGTCATCGTCATCGTCGTCATCATCATCATCATCGTTATTGTTATTGTTATTATGTGCAGAATCAGATAGATAACAATTAGTTGTGATCTGGATATTCATTTTGGGGAATCTGATGGATAACAATGAGTTGTGATCTGGATATTCATTTTGGGGTGTGTGGTACCAATTCATACTGGAAATTCATAAACAGTTGATTTGTCAGTTTTCTCTGTCTTTAGGCCCACAAAGAGGTAAGAAATAGATGCAGGTTCAATTCTGAAATGTTTCCATAAATTCTTTGGGACACAATAATCAGTTTCTGGATGTCTTGCTGAGCGCCCACCAGGGGTTCATGCAGTGTACAATGTCTTTCTTCCTTGTCAGCTACTGAGTTGTGGGAATTTCTCTAGAAAAGATGACAAAATAACTATGACCATTATGCCATTCCTGAAATAAAGGGATGTCTGTATAGCTAGATTAGCAGTGGCTTGTAACAGAACACAAGACTCTTAGTGCTATGTCACTGCACACACAAAGGAACAGTAACTGAAAACTGCAGTGGTTCTCTTCCCCACCCTTCCTTCTTATCAGCTGTTGACAGTTTCCTTGTTTATTATGTTCAGAAACCATAGCAATTTCATTCCAGATAAACAGAACTAGGCAAACTTGTGTCATCTTTGATCTTCTCCCCAGTGGCACTTCTGAATCCTACCGTCTTCCTTTGAATTTTTTTTTTTCTGGATGTCTTGCTGAACACATGTCTTGCTGAGCACTCACCAGGGGTTCATGCAGTGTACAGTGTCTTTCTTCCTTGTCAACTACTGACTTATGGGAATTTTCTCTAGAAAAGATGACAAAATAACTATGACCATTATGCCATTCCTGAAATAAAGGGATGTCTGTATAGCTGGATTAGCAGTGGCTTGTAAAAAACAGAACATGAAACTCCTAGTGCTATGTCACTGCACACACAAAGGAACAGTAACTGAAAACTGCAGTGGTTCTCTTCCCCACCCTTCCTTCTTATCAGCTGTTGACAGTTTCCTTGTTTATTATGTTCAGAAACCATAGCAATTTCATTCCAGATAAACAGAACTAGGCAAACTTGTGTCATCTTTGATCTTCTCCCCAGTGGCACTTCTGAATCCTACCGTCTTCCTTTGAATTTTTTTTCGGACGCCTATCTGGTTATTCTCCAGATCCAACACCATCAGGAGCAACTACAGTTCAACGTTGCACGTATGCCCTGTTTTCCACTCATTCTGGGGCTTTCCTGGCTCCGAACACATAACCCACTAGTAGACTGGGCACAAGGGGAGTTGTGCTTCAGGGATCCGTGTCTGCACCTGGTTCCACCGGCCACCTTGACTGCAGCAGGATCAACAGACAGTCCAATGATACCTTCGGAATACAGGGACTTGCTGATGTTTTCGAAGAAAAGGGGGCTGACCAGCTATTCCCACATCGACCTTATGATTGTGCCATCAATTTGGTGCCTGGAGCACTCCTCCCTGTGGTACGGATCTACCCTGTGTCCGAACCAGAACTTGCAGCCTAGTGGGACTTTCTTGACAAAAACCTGAGACACGGATTTATCCAGCCGTCCCCGTCATCCCTGTCTGCACCCATTATCTTTGTTTTTTTTTTTAAAGGCAGAGAGCTCCAACTCTGCAATGATTACCGGGCCTTGAATAAAATAACCATTCGGAATCACTACCCCCTGCCATTGATCGGTGATCTCCTGGATCACCTTAAGGGGGCACAGATCTATACCAAGTTGGACCTCCGTGGTGCCTATAATTTGGTGAGAATCCGTGCAGGTAATGAATGGAAGATGGCTTTCGGGACTTGTTATGGCCAGCATGAATACCTGGTCATGCCTTTTGGCCTGACCAATGCTATGACTGTATTCCAGCATTTCATGAACATAATCTTTAGAGACCTGCTTGATCGCTTTGTGATCATCTATTTGGATGACAATTTGATTTACTCATGTGACCCCGCTTGGCACACAGAACACGTTCGTCAGGTCTTCCAACAACTACG